AATTCCTTCTTGTGTAGGCCGGAGCCAGCTGTCCCAGGAAACCAAGCGGGGTCTCCAATGTCAGCACAGTCCACACAGGGGTGCTGTCCCAGAGTTGTACATTTTGGAAGCCCAGTCAAGGCCCTCCTCAAACCCTTTTGTTATGTCCATGATAAATTGCTGGCTGACAACGTCTATGCTGTTTGTCAAACAGAATTACTGATGTAAGTGCCTGGCTCATTTATTTAAAAAAAAAATCTTTCACTCTTTTCTTCATCTTTCTTTCCTCTCTCCAAACAATTGTGTATGCCTTGAATTCAGATAGAGTTTAATCTATATGGGAAAGGGACTTTTTTAATATGCCTTTTGTAATAAACTTAGAGCAGAAGTGCTGGATGCTAGTAATACAAATAAGAAAATTCATTCAGTTCGTTTGTCTGGTAATTCAGGGATGAATTTCTGTACAACATTTTTAAGATGAAGTGCTTTAAGCACTAAGTATTATTACTAAGTCAATGGAAACAATTATTTTAATGCTTTCAAGACAAGCATCATACCGTATTTTATTTAGAGAGCACCTAGAACAGAGATCCCTGACTTAATTGAGCTCTTTAGGTATTAATAACAGGTCTGTTTAAAGAAAAGCAAGAAATTTTAAAGCTTCCCACTAGGGATGTGAAAGGTTAAACGATTAATTGTCTAACCAATAAGTGCAGTGATAACCAGTTAGCTTAGTGCTTATCCTTTAGCTTGGACTGGGTGCAGTCTGGCAGGGAATTGAGGGAGGAGAAGCCATGTGGTGCTCCAGCAGGAATCAGAAGGCAGCAGCAGGGCAGGCAGGATGGAGGGAGGGAGGAGCAAGGAGGGTAGAGCAGGGGAAGGGGAATTTGTTGCCACCACCAGGAATCCCACACCAGTCATGCTGCCAGCAGTGCAAGGAGTAACAGAAGAGGGAGGGGCATGCTGCCCTCACCTCCTCCTGCTGCCATCTGCTCGTGCACTGGGTCACAGCTCTACCATGCCAACATGGCCTGACTGCCACCACTTCCCTCAGGCCGCCTGTGCTGCTTCTCACCCCACCTCCCCTCTGGCTGACTGACAGCAGGTGGATGTGAGGGCAGTGCAGCCCTCCTGTTACTCTTTGTGCTGCTAGAGGTGTGGTTGGCACTGGGGTCCTGGCAGTGGTGGCAATGAGTCTCGCTGCCCTGCTCCACCCTCCCATGCTGGGTCCTTCCCGTGGGCCATGGAGGCTGCTCCTGCTCATGCCAGTATGCAGCCCCATGCCATGCTATGGGCACACAAATCTGTGGGGGGGCACGTGCCAACCAGCCTGCAGAGCTCTTTGTAAAAGCAGGGAATCCATGGGTTTCGTTGCTAAAAGGAGAAATCCACATTTTCTCTGATAAAAAGGGGAAATCTGTGGTTTTCTGTTTTTCCCTGCTTATCAATTAAGCCAAGAGTTTTCAACCTTCTTTGTTTGGTGCACCCCCTGTAGCCAGTCGAGAAGCTGGAAGTCCCCCGACTGGTCAACAAGCATGGCGGGGGGGAGGGTGTCCCCCTGCATCTGATTGATGAGAGGGGGGGGCAGAAGGGGATCCCCCCATACGCAGTGACAAAACCAGAAGCGCCAGCAGCAAAACCGGAAGTGCCTTCTGCTTCTCCACACCGCTGCCATGTACGCCCTGAGACCTTCCCAAGTACCCCCAGGGGGTACCTCTGGTTGACAACCCCTGAATTAAGCAGCTATCTGCTCCTTCACAGGTGCTCCCTGCTTCCCAGGGCAAGGCTTCATGTAGCTGTGTTATCTGGCTGGGCTTGCCTCCTCTCCCCGTCCCCCCAGTCAAAGGGGTCTGTGAGCGGGTGTGTTATGGGTTAACCGTTTAACCAGGGGTGTGCAATTATTTTGGCTGGAGGGCTGCTTAATGAGTTTTAGTGAGCTGTTGAGGTGACTTGTTGAGGGCTGCAAGGGTAGCACTGCCCCTTGACAGGTGCCCTGCCCCCTGATCACCATCTTGGGACCAGAAGTCTCTTCCCTAGCTCCTGACCTTTGCCACCAGAACTCCCTCTCCTTGCTGCCAGAAGTATACCTTTTGGGAGGGGTGGGGGCTGCCATCTTGGAACCAGGAAAAAAACAAACCCTATGGTAAAAATCAAACATCTACTATACATATTTTAATGTTATTCCAAAAAATATTTTTGTTCTGATTTACATGTTTGCATACTGTGTATAGAGAGGATGGCATAATACAGGCATACCTCGTTTTATTGCGCTGTGCTTTATTGCGCTTCGCAGATACTGCGTTTTTTACAAATTGA